TATGTGCCCTGCGAGTAACCCATTCTATGCCATGTACTAATGCCACGCCAACTCCGTCTCAGGGATAAGGAGCGTACCATAATTAGCTACACATGAGCATTATACTTGCAGTGGAAGTTTTGAAACGGAATTATACTATTAATAATTACGTTAGTACGAAATGTAACGTAGTTTATTTGTTGAAATTATTGTCAGAGTTTCTGTGATTTGATTTTTCAGAGGGTTTCGCTACATGGATGTTCCAAGGACTCACGTTTCTGCTTCCATTTCTGATCATCATGTACCTGCTAGAACTAAATAACGCTTACACGCTGTATATGCTGTGGAAAACCCAGGATTGTCCTTGGCAGGTGAGTCCACTAGTGCTATAAGTAACTTCTTACAAAGGGATGGCTTTAAATTCCCATGGCACTTTGAATGAAAACTTACCATTAGGTACATCGATAGAGCCTCGCATGCTGGCTGTGAATATGCAGATTGTTTGGTGCGAAGGTTTTTCCAGTACCCTGGATGGCCAAAGAATGCTGTAAATGCAGTGTAGGCATTTAGTAATGTTCGGGAGATCCCATAGCACTTTTACTCACAATCAGCTTGTTCGCAGCAAGCATTCGAGGCTTTAAAGATGTACCAGAGTCTCCATTTTCGGCTGGTTTCCTGAGAATGGTCCCGTTGCTGCTCTTCACAGTCTTTACGACCCTGATGTCCTGAGCAGCGCGATGCCGAGCTTTAGCCAGGCGGAAGACGAACTTGTCCCCTTCTCGGCCTTCCAGCTTGTCGTACAGGGCGTCCATTTCCGTATTCTTGGCCTTAGCAACGGCTGCCTTGGCGAGTCGCTTGCAGCTCTTGTAGGCAGCGTAGTCTTCTGGGCTCCGTGTCTTTTGCCAGCGTTTATATGCTTCCTTCTTCTGCTTGACGATCCCTGGACTTCCTCGTTCCAGAACCAGGCTGCCTTGTCTCCTCTGATGCCACCGCGCGTCTCTCCCAAGACTTCCTTTCACACTGTAAGATGACCTCGACTGCGTGGGTCCAGGTGTCCTGGACTGGCCCATGTGGGTCTGGGAGCCCAGCCTCCAGTATTCTTCGGCCGAGGCTATCCTTTTTCTACCTTGTTTCTTCGGCGCCATCCGTTTGGTGTCTGCTCCGTCGTAGAGAGTTTGACACCTTCTCCAATCTCGCGCGCCTTCGCACCCTTCCATCGCGTTTCCTGAAGGCATAGGACTTGGATATTCCTCGTCTCATGAGGTCGGCAACCTCACGAGACTTCCCGGTAAGCGACCCCACGTTCAGGGTCCCAGTTCAAACTAGCTTCTTTGGCCGAGGTTCATCTCGGGTACCCTCTTCCCGCAACTGACCACAGAACTCGGGCGAGGGTTCTGCGCGCCACTTCCGGGTGACGTCCTAGCTTTTACACTGATACTTTTGCGACTTGTCATGGTTGTTGTGACGGGTTCCTCCATCAGCCGGCCTGTCAACCTGGGCCTGACGCTGGTATCGTCCCCATTTTTGCAATTTTTGCAAGGCATGGTTTGTGCCTCGGCAGGGATGGAACTCGTGGCTCAGTGTGAGATATATATATAAGCGGGGTCAAGCGTAACGTCAATGAAAATTTTTCCTCACCATAGCCCCTTTATCTCCAAGGCGCCCACCGAATATCCGTCAGAAGTCGTCTGAAGAAGCATGAATTTATGGCACAATTTCAGGTGCCAGCACTTTCGCTTTTGTTCGTCATCGTTGGTGTTGGCAACATGGTTATGGTTTCTATAATTGTGTTCAAGAAAATGAAGGAGAGTGGGAATTCACGTGTGAAGAAGATTCTCCAACGATATCCCTCAATAGCCAAGTTTCAGTAGTAGTTTGTTAATAAGAACTGTGACAATATAGGTGGCGCAGTAGAATGCTCTAGAAGTGACGTTTGCTTCGTTGATTGTGACATGTCGTGATGTGTGATATCGAATTACCTCAGCATCGAAGGCCATTTCAGTGGCAACTTAAATATGATGTGTCTGTCACTGTATGAATTTCACTATTACGGGTTTGTCAATGCAGCATTGACATGAATAAAAATTGATTTTTTCAAATTCCGTAGTTCTTTTGAAAATTCACTGAGGATGGGAACCATTTCAAAGCAGTGGGTTGCCACGAGCGCGATTCTGATAGGACCACGAAACCACGGATGCGAAGGACGACATCGCTGTGTAGCGTTGCCACACGTAAGGATGGCTGTACCGTTCCAGAAGCAGTAGTGCAGTTCCTGATAGTGTCCCTTACACATCAACCAATCCGTCTTTACCATACACTCTTGTCGTCGCGAAAAATCGGGGGGGGGGTCATAGGGAGTGGGATGAGCCCACCCCGGCTGCGTTTTCTTCCAATCGTGATCAATTCAAGAAAAAAACAAGCAGCAGTAGAAAACGCCGCGGCTGGGCTCATTTCTTGCATACATACACCGCCCCGTCTGCAGGGTACAGCATGGGAATGTGCGAAATGGCGGTGTGAGTACGACCCCCCCCCCCCTCGAATAGGGTCCAGTTACGACCCCCCCCCCCTGCTCTAACTGACAACCAGATGCCATATTTCACCATGAATTGGTGTTCCTGAAAAGGAATCTGGAATTTCGAAATGCGGGAACTCTAATAGATCCAGGCGCAATAGTAGCGCTGCTTCCAGCTACAGCAATGTGGAGGCTGAACAACAGCGCCTCGCAATTTACGCTACCCTTTTCTTAGAATTCAAAATAAAACTGGTCGGTTCGACAACCATGCTATGACAAAAAAAATATATGTATGAAACTGACCAACTGGTGTGGGCAAGGAAAACACAATCGTCAACACAGCGTTTAATGCTGATCATTGCATAAGCTAGCATTGCTCCTGTGAAAAAATAAGTTCAAAGGTCAGCGCAGGCGTGATTCAGACCAAATGCTTGCATTCATATGAGATAATGACGGCAGGAAATCATTAAAACATGCACATCACAACAAGCGAATATGAAAAATGCAAGAAAATGCGGAAAGCCAAACTGAAAAAATGAGATAGCCAGCGGCGCAACCACATCAGTTCTATACTTGGTTATTATCGATCGACAGAAGTTGCGACGCTTTTTGGACAAGAACGTCATTGGAGCGCGGTTGTTGGGCCTCTGGGGTCTTTTCGGGGGCTTATATCACTTCGAGGGCCACGGCTTTTGATGAATGATAAGCAGCATGCAACGGGAATGCATGTGCTTAATCATTTCATCAAAACGACTACTGTTGCGTTTTCTAACGCCATTTGCAATCAGAATGTTTTCCGTTCGTGACTATATTTATTTCGATGCTGTGTTCGGATCGGTAGTAGGGAGTAAAGGGCAAGCGGGTTTTTATGCTTCACACGAGGATTACTTTACTCGAACGCAATTCATCAGGATTAAAATCGTCTTGAAACCGCCCTATCTTTTCTCTTTCCAATAAGCTTTACAGTTTTCCTGAAGACCCGCTAGTTCAGGAGATATTTTAGATGGGTCACAGACGCGCTACCCTCTGACCCACCCGAAAAATCGACTCCTTCTGTGCCATTGTGAGGATACACCTTCGGAAACTTCAGTGTGCGGTCGCATGCTTTACTTGAAAAAAGCGTAGGATGCGTTGCTCGTGGAGATTTCCATTTGATACACGTGTTATCTTATCTTGACTGGAAACAGTTATATTAGCAACTGTTCTGAAACTGCAGTATCCTTCCAGAAGCGTAGCTGTCGCCACATTTGTATGAAGTACGCAGCCACGGACTCTCCATCTCAAGGATATGGAGTGTATGTGCCATTTTCGTAGTTTGAATGTGCGTCCAATTAGTCCGATCCACATTCGCAGAGGTTGTCCTGCCTTTGCGACCTCGTTATGACTGAGAAAGGCGCTGCCGCTGTAATACCTCGAAACTGCGCTAACCGTAGGAAGTATCTCACCCATCTGGGGACGAGATACGCAGTGGTCCTACATCCACAAACGCAAGTGTGACGCGTTGCGTCGTGTGTAAAACCGATCATGCCATCTCGCTCACCTTCCTGTTTTCTTATCCTTTGTCTGTGATATGACCTGCGCAGCGCTTGTTTGCATACTAGTACAAACCTGATGCCTTGCTCGAAAACCTAGAGGGACCTGAACACTCTTTCCCTCAGTGGTAAATCAACTAACATTTATGAAATCAGTCCTATACCACCCCCCAACTCCCGCCTGTAATCGCAAATGTTTCCTACATATAAGAATGTAATAGAGATGAGCATGGATCATTGTGTAGGGAAGCCTCCAGTCGAGAAGAACAGTGATTGTTCCGAGAACCACTTAGGCATACCAGCTGTTCCTATACTCCTTCCTTCCATTCACTCGGTTCCTGTGCTAGGCGATCTCGAAAAGAGACAAGTTCTCAAAGCCCTCCATGGGGTATACCCTGTAGGAATAGGGTACACCATCGAGATTGGTGAAATGGCGGGGTCGCCGAAATGTTCTCCTTTTGTACGACCCTCTTCTCCCCAGCCTACTACAGTCAT